ACCTACTGAGATTGGATGAATTATCATCTAGACAGCCTCAGCAGCGACAGCGCACCAATTCCCGTTTCCGCTAGCCAAGTTAACCCAGGAAGAGATCCGACCTACCCTTGTTACCCGTTGTCGGCTTTGCTGATTCAGTTCACCCATTGTCGAGTGTTTACTGTTTCACAGCTAACACTCTCGGCGGGGAAATGGAAATGCCTCGATTACCATTGGACACCATAAACGAATATGACTGGCCTACCTTGATTTGAGCAAGGCCACACACATGGTCAGTGGGAAGAGAAGTTTGGCACCCTCAAACAGCGACCGGCAGACGTTGCGGTAGATAACCTTCGTGAAATTGTCATTCAAATTCTTCACTCGAGTCGCTAGGTCGTCTGATGGCTCACTTGATTTGATTGACTGAAAAGTACATTAGAGAGATGTGCGAGTGAACTGGACCCTTTGCACCAGACCACAGAAGTCGCTAAATAGCTAATCTGGTTGGGGCAATCTTTGTGTGCGGCTGCAAACGGTCCGTCAATTGTGCTTGGAAAAGAGGTGGCGGAATCCGCCTGGAAATCTTACTTGAATGTGATGACACAGAGCATGGAAAAACGACGTAATAGGCCAATACGACGGGTATCGTGATATTGAAAGCGGACGTGGTGTAGAAACGTCTTACCATTATATAGAGGTTCACGAACCACGTGAGCGAGTACTGGTACATTGGATCGATGTTACCAAGGTCAGCGATGCAGAAGAAAAGGATAGCTCCATGGCTAGCCACTGGAATGTACCCACTTCGTGTGGAGTCAATCTCCACCTGGGTCTTCTCAGCAACAGCTTGTTTCTCTGTGATCTCCTGAGAAAGAGTCTTGGACGAGGAGAGGATGCTGATTGCTGTCTCGTCCTCCAGGATGTTTCCCTCGGAGGAACTGAGCACTTCCAGAATCTTGTCCTCGAGGTCCTTCAAAGTCCGTTTGTTTTCAGCAGACTCGATGATCAGCTGATTCTTTTTCGCCTCCAGCTCCGGTTTCTCCATGGCCGCGACGATTCCGAGCAGTTGGTCAGTGAGGCCCATGGGGGTTATCATGAAATTAATCAGACACACTTTGACGGAAATCTCCGGCACGTAGTGGGGGTTCCGAAGACGCGTAGTGATGAATAGCTTGAAGTCGTTGTTGTACTCCAGAACTTCATCACCCAGACGAATGTAATCACTGCCGCTCTGGCGGAAAACGAGTTTCTGGAGGATGGGTTCCATCACAGGGTCGAGGGTTTCACCGACATTCTCAAGGAGCACAGACCAGCCGAATTGGATAGCGTTTTCCAGGGTTCTAACATAGTTACCGTCTGTCATCTTTATCACATGCAGATCGTGGTCTTTCTCCATGTTCTTAATCCACTTATTTGCCTGACCTGGAAGCAAAACGAGGTTAGTATTTTTGAGAAGAAGTTGAAGTGCGTTCCTTCTTAGACGTATTTTCGAGATAAATACGCGTGTTGCCAATGCTCAGACGTCACCTACTTCTGCTTAAACCTTGGCACGGAGATATCGCTCATTCTTACCTTGTGGATCGATGCAAAGAGCCCAACGATTTGAGTTGGTGGCAATGATGCCGTTGTCGGTGGAGAAGCTATCGACGGGCAGCCCTGCGATGTTCCACTCGCGAATCTTCACGGGGTCTCCTAGGGTATCGGCGATCTTGAAAGTCGTCGAGCATGGAACATTCAGTTCCATTGTAAGTTTGTGCCATTCCGCAGTAACAACCGACCTGTAGTCGACCGTGAAGGCTCCCAGGTACGCCACCACTCCCGCCCCCATGAGTACATCTCCGGTTATGTTGTGGTATCTCGCCTGGGATCGATAGGAAATGAAAGTCAGACAAACCCTAGACAGCCTTCACCTGAAAGACCAGAGATTGTTGATTGATTTCGATAATCCCGCAGGACGGGCTTTGTGTCATCAGGAATGTTAGCGTGTAGTGGACTGACAGCCGCCCCGCGCGAGTGTGCGTGCACGAAGGCCCGTGTGTAGCGATGACTCATTCCCTTTTGTTATTGATTTTTGTCAGCATTCGTCTGTTACGCACGCGTGCTCATACGCACACAAAGCCACTTGGCTGGTTCGACTCTAATAAACGGTCGTGTTCTCTGTCGCCTCCTTTTTCCTGTCCTCGGGTAGCTACGGGCTGTTAACTAGAGGGTTGTAAGGTAGTGCTAAATCCTCTAGTCACTACAAGCGTGTAGGAAAATATTTGAAACAGGAGCTGATTAATCTGTAACACTTTAACAAACGTAGGCAGCTGGATGTACTTCTGTTGTTCTATTCCAGCGAGATATAGACTTTGGCGACGGCTACCACGAAAGCTAATTTATCACCAATTGCTGCTTTGACTAACCTACAAATTTGGTCCAAATTTGTCGATTCACGCATCTCAAAAAGCTTATTTGAAGGCACTAAGGAAAACTATCGAGTTGCCGAAATTTTTGAGGTAATTTGAGCTACAGTTTGTTGAGGCCTTTTACCATACGAAGTAACCGAGGCGTCCG